GATTGTTTATTCCACCTATCTTATGTAGATAGACAGGCAGAGACAATAATAAGCACAAAAACAGGACAGAGGAAAACAAAGCAACAAAAGAAAATAAAACAGCCATGACCAAAAAAAGAGAAAAGCCTATAAATAGTTCCAGGTCTGTTTGTTGACCTTTAGGGGTGTTTTCCAGTTAAGTCTGATGGGGTGCCACACCTTGACCCCAAAATCTACTTCTGATATTCCCTGAGAACTTCGTTGCTCTGCTCCCCTTGCTGTTCTGTTGCACACCCTTAGTGGTTTTCCTTGGTGTGGTGGGGTCAGATCAGGCACAATTCCTGCACTCTCTCTCCAGTGTTGTCCCCCGCATCGCTATGGGTCGTTGAGGGATGTCGTGTCTCATAGTGGGGCCGGCCCTGTGGCCCTCTCTGTGCATTGGCTGCTCTGAGCAGGAATATCATCCTCAGGGTTTGGTGGGCCAGGATGTACTTCACTCTCTCTTCCTACCCCTTCATTTGCTCCTGTGTGGTCAGATCACACATGTCCCTCTCCCTGTGCTGTAGCTTCAGTGCTGTCCTCTGAAGTAAATTCTTCTGTGGGGAGGGGAGCTGTCCAGGTAGTTGGGATTGGGGTTGGCCCTTTAGACCTTTATTGGTTCCCTGCTTCATGCTGGTATGTTGCATTCACATCTTGGAGCACCATGTTGAAGTCTGGCCCCGCTACTTGTTTTACTTTTTAAAGAATTATTTAAACATCTATAAAATAGATGTAAAAATACCTGTAAAAGTAGTGTTAAAAATCATCAAAACTCCAAGAAATAAAAATGTAAGTTTAGTCTGAGTTTACATGAATGTAGGGGGACTATTTCTAATTTTTTTTTTTTTTAAAGAGGAAATAGCTTGAGGTAAGTAACCTAGTTACATGAGGAGAGAGAAGAATAGGAAATCAACTATTGACTCATCTTAACATGATTCACAGAATCCTACCGTCCTACTTACTGAGATCTATGAAGATAGAGGGAATAAGCAGTCATGTACCAAACCACATCAGTCAGTGTTCAATCATTGCAAGAGGTAGTATATGATCCAGAACCAGTGATATTTAAGGAAAAGGCTACAGTGAATTTATTAGCAAAGAATAAGGTTCCAAGAATTAATAGATTACCAATTGAAGTATTTCCACAAGCTGATGACTCCTTGGCCAACCAACTGGAAAAGATTCGTATCTGTGCACATTCCAAAGATGGCCCCACAGAATGTGGGGATTACGTCACAAGGCGCGTACAAGTGAAACTTGCGGAGGCTATTTCAGCAGCCGTTTAGCAGCTCTTTGGGAGGGGGATGCAGCCCTGGGTTCCTGTGGAGAATTGCAGCCTTGGAAATACAGGGACACTGTGAGTCAGAACCGACTCGATCGCAATTGGTTTGGGTTCTTTAGAAAAACAAAGACGAAATCTTCATTCAGTTCAAAATGGAATTGTCAAATTAAGGCTGAAGTCATTCACTTCCGATGTGCCATTGCCTGGGTTTTCCAATGTTGGCTCCGCGCAATCCTGGCCGTTTTCTCAGGTTGCGTTATAAAGATTTGTTGATGTGGCTGTGCATCAAGACCTTTCAGGTATCAGCTATCACGCCTTGTATCTGCATGAACATAGTGCAAAGACCTTATGGGAAAAGAATATTTCCTTATTTGACTAAGGTTAGGTCAGCACAAGCTTACAGGAACTGCTGTTAGAAAAGGCTGCTTTTAAAATTCACCGTGGATTCTAGAATTTCATGTCAGGATGTAAAAATGGGGTTAAAATTCAGCTTTCAGACAAGACTATCTGCATACACCAAGTGCCTTTGAGTTCAAGTTCTTATAGACTGCCACAGGGAGGGACCTTCCTGGTCGGGTCAAGGTGGTAGATGGTGTGGTTAGGTAATAGTTGACACTCAGATAGAGTACTATGCTCTCTAGAACTGAATTATCTTGAAGCCTCAGGACAATCCTAGGAAGATTTGTTTTTAATTTTTCCATTTTACCAGGAGAAAAGGAGCCTGGTGGCTCAGTGGTCAGACATTCAGCTGATAGCTGAAAGGGGCAGTTCAAACCCACCAGCCACTCCTTGGGAGAAAGATGTGGTAGTCCACTTCTATAAAGATTATGTACATAGAAGTCCTGTGGAGAATCCTAGTCTGGTCTCCAGCGTCACCATGAGTCAGAATTGGCTTAACAACAAAGGATATGTTTTCTTTTTTCTACTCACCACTCCACTTCAATGACCAGCCTTCTGTTCTTGTATGACACTCTTTCTTGAAACTCTATTTCAGAGTTTTTTCTCTTTGAAGTTGTTTCTGTATCTTATTTCTGTAGTGATGATAGATAACCAAAGCCTAGCTTTATTTCAGGAAGTGGAGCGAGAAATCTCCTTCAGAACCGAATGTGGACTGTACTATTCCTACTACAAGCAAATGTTGGAGGCACCAACTCTCAAGCAAGGTAATGACAACTAGTAGCTCCACTTTGGGCCTTTGGGGTTCTTTACAGTATTTCAGGCAAGACATTATGCAAAACTTGTTTTGTTTTTGGAACTTGTGTATCTTTTTCCTTGTGAGTATCTAATTGGTTTATGAAAATACTATGCCCTGGAAGTTCTACGTTAGGGTTTCCCCCCTAAAAAACTGGAATTGCACTGGGCAGAGCAGAGCTTTTGTAGTAGGCAAGCATCGAGCAACTCGCTCTGAGTTAGTGCACCCAGTGGCGTCACCTAGGAAGGTACTCTCTGATCACAGTGATTTTTGCATAAAAGCTGTTTTTCTCAAACCTCATTTTTTTGTGATGGCTGATTTAGAGAACAGTGTGCTGCTGTGAAATTTTGGTTCCTGCTCCTGAAAAATGCCACGGAAACTGTTTTGATGTTAGAGACAGCTTACAAGGACAGTGCTATGGGAAAAACTCAAGTGTGCAACTGTTTTTCTTGTTTCAAAAATGATGAAATGTCAGTTGATGACAAACCTCGTTCTGGACATCCATCAACTTCCTGAAAGGACAAAATTGTCAACTTGTATATTTGGATTCATTCCACCAGGTCAGACTGTTAATCAAGCTTTCTCTTTAGAGGATCTGAAAAGATTGCATAACTATGAGAAAAAAAGGCCTGATTTGTGGCAGACAGGAAACTGGTTTTGCCACCAGGACAATGCACCTGCTCATACAGCCGTCTCAATGCACCAGTTTTGAGCAAAAAACAGTTTGCCTCTCTCGTCCCACCCACCTTACTCACCTGACCCAGCACCGTGCGACTTCATTTTGTTTCCAAGAATGAAGAGGGACATGAAAGGACAGCAGTTTAACATAAAAGAGGTGAAGAAAAAAACAAAGGAGGTGCTGTCAGCCATCCAAACAGTTGAGTCTGAAAAATGTTTCAAAGGATGGAGTCACAGATTTGACAGATATATTAAATGTAATAGTACTTTGAAATTGATATGGTTGTTTTATTAAAAAAAAATTAAACACATAGCTTTGAAAAAAAAAGTCCGTTTGAGGGGTGTACCCCCTTTTAAGCTTTATGTAATGCTCCTCTCCTTGCCTTCCAACTTGGCCCCATCCCCCAAGTGTATTTCCCATTAATTGGTCGTTAGATCCAGGCTTGCTCAAAATCAGGATTCATAGATAAATATACAAACAGGGCTTCAAAAAATTTAATGGGAAATGTTCATTATCTTACATTTAATTTCCAAACTCCCTCATATAATTTGTAGCTGTTTGTTTCTGAGTTAAGATAAACTAATCCACTATTTTCTTTGCCAATGTTTGTTACCTGATGATAAGGCACAATTCCTGATGGTTATCTCAAACTATTAGCTCCATAATAAAACCCACGTGGCATCAAGCCAGTTCTAGCTCACAGTCTCACAGGGGTTCTGAAGTGTACGTCCTCGTGGGGGCAGATAGCCCCCTCTTTCTCCAGAGGTGTGATTGGTGTGTGTGAACCTTGTGGGACATATAGTGGGATTTCATTTCATCTTCCTTCCGTAAATTGTAGATGGAATTCGGTCCAAAGTAGTGTTCTCTTGTCTACTAATGGGTAGCCCATAGGTTCAGTTCATTAAGGAAAGGCAGGATAGACAGTGCTTCAGTCCTTCACGTCCATTCCATTGAATTAGAGTCAGGTTTTTCTCGTTGACCATGGGATCACCTTCAGGCTGAATTCTACAAATCCATGATGAATATAGCTATTTTTTGTTTAAAGCTAAGATGACAGGGTTTTTACTTGCTTACTCTCACTTTTTCTTAATTCAAGAACCTTGGTTCCTACTGTCTTGTCCTTGGCATGACCCTAGTGACCTTTGGAAATGGCCTTGGCTTGGTGCAAGAGAAGCTGTTACAGGCCCATTGATGTATCTCTGACCCCTGACTTGGAACCAGCCATTTCTCCAAGGTGCCCTATCTCATTTTAGTGGCCATTTAGAGACCACAATCTGGGTATGAAAATATCTAATAAAAATTTTTGAAAAACAGGTTCCACAGAGTTGAATCTGACTCATGGTCACCCCTTGTGTAGGACTGTGTCCCAATGACTGGGCAGTTTAAAGAACTGGATCTCCAGGCCTTTCTTCCTGCGCACCTCTGGTATATCTCACCCCCAGGTTCCTAGTAAGCAGCCTAGTATTACCCATTTGCATCATCCAGGGGCACTCTTGGAACTAAAAACTAAAAACATTTATTGCATTGATTTCAGGCCTTTTAAAGTGGTCCAAGGGAGGAAAGGCTTAGAGTTTTTTCCATAAGAGATAATACATTATGAATATCGCTATTTTTCATTTAAAGTTAGGATAGGATTCTTTAACTTTTTAAAAAAATATTTGTATCTCTCTTTTCTTAAAACCTTGGTTCTTACTGATAGTAGCATTATCATGTCCTTGTTTCCTGCTGTATGTGGAATATAATACTGATACTGCTGCTAACCACAGGGTCCCTGAAACAGCTTAGATTGCCCTTGGGTTCTTTTGATGCTCCCCCAGCAGTGGGCAGCCACTCTGGACTTTGTGTGGCTAAGTCATCAACTCTGTAGGTTTATTTTACTTTTGGCTTTCAGGAATTAGTTTGACGTTTTAAAATTTTTTTAATTTTAAACATTCTCAAGTTTATTTTCTCCTTTTTAAAAAAATCATTTTATTGGGGGCTTTTATAGTGCTTATAACCATCCATCCATCCATCCATCCATTGTGTCAAGCACTTTGTACATATGTTACCATCATCATTTTCAAGACATTTTCCTTCTACTTGAGCTCTTGGTATCAGCTCCTCATTTTTTCCCTACCTCCCTCACGGACCCTTGATAATTTATAATTTTTTTAAACTTTTTTTTTAAAGAGTGCCCGGTTCCAGCATCGAAGCTGAACCATGGAGCACTCAGGGAAGCCTGTGTCCAGCCCTTGCCTCACAAAACCCACTACCACCAAGTCCTTTCCCACCAATAGTGACCCCATGGACAGAGTAGGACCACCTCTGTGTTTTCTGGGCTGTAAACCTTTATGGGAAAGACAGCCTCCTCTTTCTCCTGGGCAGCGGCTGGTGGAGTCAAATTGCTGACCTTGTGGCCAGCAGCCCAAGTCTTAACTCACTGTGATGCCGCCAGGGTTTTCTTCCTGGCCAGTGAGGTAACCCTCTTTGTTAGCTTGGGGGTTTATTCTTCCACTGCTAATATTCACAATTCTTTATACGTTCTCATTGCCCCATTTTTACATAAAAAACTGCATTGTATATACGTCGTGTTTTCTTTCACTTAACAAAAATCTTAGATATAAAAATATTCCTTAACCCTTGTTTGCAAATGGATAATACTCCTTTGCAAGGATAACCATAGTTTATTCACGTCGTCTGCTCTTGATGAGCATTTGGGTCATTTATTCTCTCTTAGTACTGCAGTGTGAAGGCCCTTGTACCCACCCACGTCAGTTTGGACTTCCGTGAGTCTCATGTTGGCATGATTACTGGACATGGGCTTGCTAGATCTAAGGGCAAATGCATGTGCCATTTGATGGGTGTTCCCCACGCCTCTCCCAGCTGCAGTCTGGGAGAGTGCTTCCTGACAGCCTCCCTAGCAGAGCCTGTGGGCAGACTTCTTCACTTCTGCCAGGTGATAGGTGAGAAACGATGTCGCAGTGTAGCTTTCTAATTGTGTGTGTGTGTACAGGTGGGGGACGGGGGTACATCTTTTGCCAGTTCAACATTTTTCAGTGTCATGATCCCAGTTGCATTCATGTGCTGTGCAGGCACCATCAGTATAGTGGAATCTGTCCTCTGGGTGGGAGCCAGCCTGAGTGTTTTTCCATATGTTACTCCTGTTTGCATGTTTTCCTCTGTGCACTATCCCCTCATACCTGTTCTCATTAATCAACCCTCTTGTGGTAGCAATTGGCAGCAGAATTGCACTGAGTTTCTTTAACAGGTTTATTTCTTGTTCTCATTGCTTGTCTGTTGTGGGCCAGCATGTGGTTTGTCATCAGTCTTTACCCATCTCTGCTGGTCTACTTACCTCTTATCCCATTGTCCCATTTGGCTCTTTTTATAAAGCACACCCTCCACTGATCCTGTCTCATTAACATAACAATAAACCCATTCCCAAATGGGATTACAACTGTAGGCAAAGAGGGTTAACATTTACCATGCATATTATTTAGAGTACAGTTTAATCTCTAATTCTGATGCTAGTATGAATATTTAATAATGCCCATCAAAGACATGATTAGCTCAATAACGTAACCACTTCCATAGAGTGGATTCTAACTCATAAGCAACCTTAGAGGACAGAATTACCCCACAGAATTTCCAAGGCTGCATTCCTTACAGAAGCACTCTCACGTCTTTCTCCGGTACAGCAGCTGGTGGATTGGGACCAACTGAATGCTTAACCACTGCACCACAAGGGCCTCCTTCCCGATAAGAGTGGTAGTGAGGTGCCACGGCATCAGTTTGGACTCATGGTGACCCTCCTGTGTATAGCAGAATGAAACGCTACCCAGTCACGGGCCTCTTGTTGCCGCCACTCCATCTCATCAGTCATCCTTCTCATCCAGGCCTTCCTCTTTCACTGCCCTCCACCTTTACCAAACATGATGCCCTTTCTAGGGTCTGGTCTCTCTTGGTCACATGTCCATAGTTTGTGAAATGAAGTGTCATCATCCTCACTTCCAAGGAGCATTCTGGCTGTACTTCTTCCAAGACAGATCTGTTTGTTCTTTTGGCCGTCCATGGTACATTCGTTACTCTTCTCCAGCATCGGTATTGTTCACCAGCATAATTCACGGCATTGACATTTCTGCTTTGGTCTAGGAATCATCCCAACAAAGTAGAAGTTCTTCACTAACGTTCACATGAATATGAGGGGATTGAAAACAGCACGGCTTGAATCAGGCACACCTTGGTCCTCCAAGTCTGAGCCTTGCTCTTCAACCCTTTAAAGATGTCTTGTGCTGCAAATTTACCCAATGCCATGTGTCATCTGATTTCTTGACTGCTGCCTTCCATGAGTATTGATTGTGGATCCCAACAAGATGAAATTCTTGACAACTTCGGCCTTCTCTCTGTTTATCATGATGCTGCCTATTGGTCTAGTTTGAGGATTTGTATTTTCTTTACATTTAGTCATATGAGTGTAGAACTATGTTTTTTGCTCTTATTGCCAATATCAAGCACAAGTCTCTGATACATGCTAAAGAATCTGTGAGTAATTTTGAATGAATATGAATGATTGTAACTAAAAGTATTATATATTTTCCTCATTTTTCAAATATCAATCATAGGTTTACATGGCTTAATATACGATAATAAAACTGAATCAATGAGGACAATTAACCTCCTTGAACGAATGAATATTTACCAAGAAGTTTTTCTCAGTATTTTATATAGAATCCTACCCATACAGGTATGTTGTGTTTTGTGATATTGAATTTAATTTGAACTAGATGAAAGTCAAAATCTGCCCATTTTAATTGAAAGATTCAGCTGACATGGTATTAAAATAGTAATATCCTAATTTTCCAGATATGTATTATGACCTTTCTTTTTTGCTTATTTATTCTTTAACATATAAATACATCCTGGCTTATAGCATAATGTCTGTGTGGTCTAGAAGTCCATGTATATTCTCATTTGGAAACTTGTTATCACTGTTGAATGTATCTCTGACATTTTAAATTTGGGGAAATGAGCCAACCACAATGTCCATGTCATATGCAAATGAGGGAAAATTAGACCAAATTAGATGTAAAATGTGTGTGGAATCAAAAATGAAGCCAGGCCCCCAAATGGCTTCTATCCTTCTGCTCTTAGAGGTGGGAAGGAAAGCTGCCGGCATGGCTCTTGGTGAAGTAGGGTAACCTGGACTTATTGCGTTGCATTAACAGCAGCCTTCTGCATAGTGCATTTCCTATACTGTGCTTCTTGAATGGTGATGGTCCCACTATGGCTTCATTAACAAGCAATTTCTTATTGTTCCCTTTTACAGAAGTATTTAGAGCCGATTTATTTTTATATTTATACCTTATTTGGGCTCCAGGCAATCTATGTGACAGCCCTTTATGCAACCAGCTGGCTCCTTAGTGGCACCTGGCTCTCGGGGCTGTTAGCAGCTTTCTGGTATGTTACGAACAGGTGAGTTAAAAGTAATATAACACTCCCTTTTCTACAATGTAAGTGAGAATGAAGCACTTCATTTCCTCTAATTCAAGAACTTATTGAGCCAATTTGTTTGGAAGGGAACACGTTTCTCTTTGCATGTTCGTATTTATTTTTCTTATTCAGTATGAAAACCTTGCTTATTTATATTTCCATGTAATTAGTAGGATATTTAATAAGTCAAGAGATTTATCTATAATAATCCCAATTCTATTTCCAATTTTCTAAATAATCACTATTTCTCTAGCTCATTTTTTAAAGAAGTTTAATAATGGCTTCACTATCAACCTTAATCGGGTTGTGTGAGACTAAAAATTAGCAAAGCACAAAGGATCATACAAATGCTAAGAAGATCTCCTATCACCTATATAATATATACTATTAATTTCCAGATATTAGAGTCTTATGAAATCATGCACTGTTGTGCACTGTTGCCTGAGCTACAGTAGTAGCACCTATATTCAGTTAAGTAAGGGTCTTACAATTTGCTGCCACACTTTTTTTTGTGTGTGTGAATTGGGTGAAGGTTTGTAGGGCTAATTAGTTTTCTGTTCAACAGTTTATACACATTGTTTCATGTCGTTGTTCGCAATCCTCGTAATGTAACAATCCTCGTAATCTAACAGCCCTCATCCCACTTCCCTCTGTTTCCCATTTCTAGTCTTCCTCCTTTCCTTGGGTAAATGCTACCCTTATGATCTCAAATGGTTGATTATGTTGAGGACTGCATACCCCACTGATGTTATTGTTCCCCTTATATACCCATCTTTTGTTTGGCTGAAAACTGGTTCATGGGGGTATGTTCATTTCCAGACCTGATGGGTTACAAAGGCCATAGGCTCAGGGTAGGTCTTACAACTTACATACTAGCTCTAACTCTAGTTTTATTTTGTAATCCTAAACAAATTACTTTTTTTGTTATTTTGATGCACATTTATTATATACAAAGCATTTTTCAAATGATCACTATGTGTTCTTATTTTAACAACCCTTTAAAAGTATTATTCTCATTCTAGAGATGAGGAAATTGAGGTTGATAAGGTTAAGTAGTCTATATAAGTTCAGAGTTGATCCTTGGTTAGAATTCTGACATGCGATGTGAGACCACTATGGTATCCTGGCTCTTAACTTTTTAATATAGAACCTTATATTATTCCTGCTAAGAGTAAATTGAAACCAAATACAGTGCTGCTATTAGGAGTAAGTAAAAAGTGTTTATTGGATGGCTCATATGTGCAGGGTTAGTTCTTGATACTGGACATACAAACTGACCTTTCTTTGCACTCTGGGAGTTCATGTTTTAGAGAGGCGATTTTTAAAACGTCATTATCACTGCCGAATGCAAGACTCAAGTGTACAGCACTAAAGAAATACAAAGATGGAGAACAGAAAGCATTGTCTCTTGGCACTAAAGTTAAAATTAAAGTTAGGCAATTTGGCCTCATGCTTTCATGCAGTGTGTAGGTTGAAGTCAGATTAACATGAGCTTGAAGCTCAACTCCACCACCTAGCATAGCCCTAGACCAGCTACATACATTTTCTCAAGGTCAAGCTTGCGTTGCAAAATGATGATGACAGCAGCAATTAGTATTGAAAACCCGTGTCTGGATATGGTGAAAACCATTTTCATGAGGATTGTAAACGTTCTGACTTGGGCCAATTGTGGTTTCTTTTGTGCAGAATAGATACCACAAGAGTGGAATTCACCGTTCCATTGAGGGAAAACTGGGCACTGCCATTCTTTGCAATTCAGATAGCAGCAATTACATATTTCTTGAAACCAAAATTACAGCCTTTTTCTGAAGTAAGTACATACCGGTATATTTTTTAATTTCACAATTATTTTGAATTCACTTCAGGAAATGTGATATGTAGATAGTACCCCAGTGCGTGCGACTAGTTCTTCCTTAACCAATTATTTAACTGAAGTTAAATGAAGTTTTCTTTTTCTGAGCTTTTTCCTACTTTGCAAAGAAAATGTTTTCATATTTGATGTTAAAAATATTCTCTCCACAATCTACCCCTAAATAGTTGCAGCAAACCCACACACACATTTTGTGCAAAACTGTCAGGATTTTTAAGCCATTGCTCTTGGGATGTGATTTGGTGCGTTATCACCTCCATAATAGTGTGGAATACACATACCGTATGTGAATATTTATATGCAAAGTGTCACTTTAGGATATTTAGAGCTTGAGTAACAAATGCAAGAGTTTTCAGAGCAGCAGATTATCTTTTTCCTGATTGGTTTATGGAGATATTGGCTGCTCTTGAGAAAACTTGTCGGCAAGGCTTTTTAATATGAGAGACATGTAAATTATGCAAATTTTCATTTTACAGAGGCTGACACTTCTTGCCATCTTCATTTCAACTCTTCTCTTTAGTCTGACATGGCAGTTTAATCAGTTTGTGATGCTGATGCAAGCATTGGTACTGTTCACACTGGACTCCTTGGACATGCTGCCCGCACTGAAGGTAGGCTTTGCTGGCTCTTCTTCATTGAGGTTTGCATCATTGAGTAATTTGTTTTATAAAACAAGCTCATATGATGCACGGGCTTAGTAACAACTTGGTGCTGCTTCTTCACTCTTAATTTATAACGTTTATGCAGCCTGATTCACAAATATAAGATAAGCACTTGAAAATACCTTATCATGCTTGGCTAATATATCTCAAGGGACTTAAAGAGTATGAAACACATTTTCTGTTGTACCTTATAAAATTTCATAACACAATTTAACCTACCTCGGATGTGAACCTTTGGCTGAGTCAGAGGTCACATATGAAATAAAGCATATTTAAAAAGAGGCTTATGCTCTGTCTCCAGTCAGTACTATGACCACTTAGTAACATCCTTTTTTAACGTACAAAGAAGTTTAAATGAATCGTGTACATTTTAAAATTTGCTCCTAGTTAACTATGCTAACATAATTGAAGTATTTCCCAAGTGTAGTGAAAACTTGTGGGGCATGGGTAGCCCAGAGGTAGGATTCCTGCCTTTACACGCAGGAGACCGACCTAGATCCACAGCCAGTGCACTGCAGGCAGCCCCTCTTCATCTGTCAGTAGAGATGTGTGTGGTCCTGGACCTGAACAAGTTTCAGTGGAACTTTCCACTACGGTGGGCTAGAAAGAAAAGCCTGGTGATCTTTTCTTTTTCTTTTTCTTTTTTTTTTAATTAACCAATAACTGCATGAGTCAGATAGTCTGATCATGGGGATCGCACAGGACAGGGCAGCATCTTGTTCCGTCATTCACAGGATCTTCATGAGTCAGGACTGATTTGACAGCAGATAACAATGACTAAAAGGTGTCTCCAGATCCGAGGCAGTAGTGTGTCTCCAGCCCAGTCTGGAAGAGCAGCACATACTTACTCCACTCCAACAGAGAGTCTGGACATTAGTGTATCTGAATTAACACACTGCCATCCAATTGATTCCAATGCATAGGAAACACTAAGGGCATTAGTTGCTGACTGAGCCAACAGAAGCTGGCGTCTGATGTTGGCCCTTTCAGGGAGCCCACCCCAGATGCTATATCTTTTGATAGCCGGGCACCATCAGCTTTCTTCACCACATTTGCTTATTC